TTCCAACCGAAACTGTTCTGTGATTGTATGAATACTGCAATCTGGCAGTTGTGTCCTGCATATTTTAGTAGAGTTTGACATTGCAGGCTTTTGGAATTTGTGTAGTTCTGAGGCTGTGGTATACTGCTTGTCACTGACCACCTGCCTCGGTTGTGTGTTGGACTCCAGGGAGCACAAAGCAGCCATTTAATGGATGACATTAAACAAAGACGTACTGAGTTGTAAAGGCCACTGAACTCTCTTTTGTGATTCTTATGTGACTAGGCTTGAAACATGCTTGGGGGAAGTTTGAGGAAAGTTGGTTTTCATTACTGGTAGTTTTCCCATAGCTGTCTGGTGCCTTTACTAGCACTTTCATACTTCATACCGCATTTTGGGTGTGGGGGAATACAGTTTAAAAAAAAAGTCATACTTCATACCGCATTTTGGGTGTGGGGGGATACAGTTTAAAAAAAAAAAAAGATAGCTGTGCCATTATTTAGAGCTGATTTTTCATTTATTATAGATAATGTCATTTAAAAAAATGTAATTGTGAGACATAGACGTTTTCTTTCTTACAGTAAATGGAACAAACCAGTTTGAACACCTATGTAGCTATCTTTCCTTGCCAAACAACCTCACTTGCCTTTTTCAAGAAAATAGTGAGATTCTGAACACATTAATAGAAAGGTAAGTTGTGTTTTATGCTTAGTTTAAATACAATAAAGAATCCTGCACAAGATACTAATATAAGTATTATCCTGGGAGTGCGTATACGGATGTGTATCTTAAACTTTGAAAAGCATTTGTGAAGGAAGTGTTTTGAAAGGAATCATTTTGGTTGTAGAGATTATCGAATAGATGTACTGTGGATTTTTTGCTTATTTGTTTGTGGAAAGTATCATCCATTGAAGTCAAAAGCTGATTCTTTTCTTTCTTGTAGTTGGTGCAGTAACAATGAAGTAAAGAGATACCTGGAAGGCAAGAGACATGCTATCAGGTAAACATGGAGAATGTTTAAGCACAGACAGGGGAGAAACTTTAATGTTGCAGTTTTCTCCAAATATTTTTTCCTGAAGGGTGTTTATAATAACATAGCATCAGTTCTGCTTTATTGAATGACAAAGATATTGGGGGATAAGCAAAGAGATTTTTGGAATTTTGTAAGAAAAGTGAAATGTTGCTTAAATTAGTAGATTTTTAAAGGTAAAGTTAAATGTTACAGTTTTGCTTAAACTGATCTGCATTAATCAGAGGCCATAGCATTTGTTTTCATGTTTCTTATAGTAGATTTGTACCTTCTGATTCAAAATATATCCTGTTGCTAAAAGATGTATATAACCTTTATTTAAAAATACCAGGCATTGAAGAGCTTTTTAAATTATCTCTTTAAAGAATCTGAATTCTTCAGTGAAATCAATGTCGATTCAGTTGCTAAAAAGAAAATTTGCTTTTCATACATTTCTACTTGCTAAGCAATTATTTTGAATTCAGAACACATTTAATACTTAGTGGATATAGAAAAGCATTTGGGGTATTTCTCTTTATGAAGGCTGGGTAAAAATAGTGGTTATCGGTTATCCGAATAATTATAAATGAATGAGGTCACAGTGCTGTCATTAACATACCCCTGCATTTTAATCTCCTGTGCTAAACACCTAAAGTCAGTCTTTCAACATTGTGCATACGATAAGGCTAAGTGACAAAAATGAAAATTAATCACTTCATCTGTTAAATACCAGGCTATTAATAGAATTTCTTACACAGTAAGAATACTGTGATTGCGTAATTGATTTCCTGTTACGTGTGATTGCTGGGATTTTTTTCCATGTGTTCCTTTTGCTGATTAAATGTTCTTCCCAAGATTACATCTAATTTGACAGGGATTTTTTTTTTACCCCTCTCAGCATGTTCTTGTACATCGCTTCTGTTACAAACCTCTACTTACATTTCACAGTCTAATTTGTATTATTCCTAGAGTTGAAGATTATTAAAATTTACTGTATGGCATCTGCAAAAAAACCCACAAACAAACAAAACAACAAAACCAAAAACCTTTCGACTGTTATTTCTAAAGATGTAAACATTTGGTATTAAATAGGTCCTTTTCATTGCATGAATATTTCATTTTCTTCAGGACACAAGTTCTCTGAACTTGAGAGTCAGACTATTTTCCATTCAATATTAGTGACAAAAGGAAAGTATAAAGCAAACTGGTAAGGCAGCAGAATAAATATTCAGGTAAACCCGTAGTGACCTCATCACGAGGTTTTGCTGAAAGCATATATGAGACAGGTATTTTTCTGACTTTCTGCCTGTACGTTTTCTCAAATTCATGAAAAATATGACTAAGACAACTGGAGGTGGCCTAGCCGAGAGATGTTGTGGGTCCCTTTTGTACGTGCTACCATTTTACTCCATGAGTGGCGGAGAAGAGGAAAACTTTAAGAGTTTCATGATGCGCAGATGCAGTTTAGATGAATCAGCAAAACATGCATGAGTCTGAAATCACTGTGTATTATGCATTGAAATGTGAGTGGTTCATTTGATTGCTTTATTCTAGCTATGCACGAGAATCCAACAAATTGATAGACCTTCCGGACGACTACAGCTGCCTCATTAACCAAGCATCCAATTTCTCGTAAGTTGCATGCAGTTATAGTGAGGACCCCTAAAGTCTTCTGCTCCTTTTGATGACCTGGGAAACCTCTAACCTGAAAGCCTCAGGAATTTGTTTATAGAATCATAAAGTTAATGGCACCTATGGTTTGTTTTTACCATCTAGAGTTAATACATATGATGGATTATATATTTTTTTTTTTTGCTTTACAAAAGGTGTCCGAAATCAGGCGGTGATAAAAGCAGAGCCCCAACATTGTGCCTTGTGTGTGGGACCATGCTGTGTTCTCAGAGTTACTGTTGTCAGACTGAATTGGAAGGAGAGGACGTTGGAGCCTGTACTGCACATACATACACTTGTGGTTCTGGAGTGGGCATATTCCTTAGGTAAGGAGCTGAACACCTCTGCTTACATTGCTAAGTTAGATGGTGTGTGTAGACATGAAATGAATAGTTCTATAAACATGATTGCAGGGGTGGTTTGTAAAGGGAGTGGTTTTTTAATAACAGGGTTGCCTGTAGACTGTATTCATCTTCCTTATACTTTGGTATAAGGTTCAGAGGTTGTTTCTTTAAAGATAAAAGTATCATAGAAAACTTTAATTTTAAAGTGAATTTGTTACGTTCAACAAGGCCAAGTGCAAGGTCCTGCACCTGGGTCAGGGCAATCCTGAGCACAAACACAGGCTGGGGGATGAGTGGATCGAGAGCAGCCCTGAGGAGAAGGACTTGGGGGTGCTGGTGGATGAAAAGCTGGGCATGAGTCAGCAATGTGCGCTTGCAGCCCAGAAAGCCAACAGCATCCTGGGCTGCATCAAAAGAAGTGTGGCCAGCGGGTTGAGGGAGGAAATTCCCCCCTGCAACTGCTACTGAGGAGTTACAACAGGAAGAGAATAAGTTCTTTACGGGTTTTTTTTTAAACAAAACAAAACAACAAAAAAAACAAACAAAAAAAAACACAACCAAAACAAAACAAAAAAAAACCCCACAAACTTTAAAAACTTATGGGTGCAGACTATACAGAATGGAAGTGGGTGAGAATTGGAAAAGCAGTGTCTATGAAAATGTGAGAAACTATTCACCTAAAAATCAATGCCTAAAACCTTCTCTGTGTTTCTCTGTAGAGTACGAGAATGTCAGGTGCTATTTTTAGCTGGAAAAACAAAAGGCTGCTTTTATCCTCCTCCTTATCTCGATGACTATGGAGAGACAGACCAGGGACTCAGGTGAATATTTAAAAAATACGTCTTTTAAAGACAGAAATTCTAAAACTGTCTGGTTTGTAAAATACACTTTCTATGTTACCTTTTTATTTTAACTATATAGGTAATGTTATATTTTGACATTGCTGCTGCGTGTAGTATCTTCAAACATTTTAATGCTAATATGTGTTTTTTAGGTTAAAAGTAGTTAATGGAAGATCTTTCACAGGTTATCTTGAGGTGTGAAAACTTAAATCTTTTTAGCACTTGTGAAGCTGCCTAGAAACTAGGGCTGAAAATTTTATTTGTATGTAGTGAATTTGTATAATCTGTGTTAATTTAATACTTAGTGAAAATACATGAGATTATTTTACTTACTGTGGTAGTTCTTTGTCTTAACTCCTATCTCTGCTTCCTATGAGAATACTTTGAGGACTTGATATTAATGCTTGCTACTTCTGAAACTGGTCAAAATCTTAGCATAGGAGCTGGTTCAGCACGGAAAGATTGCTGAAAACCTATGTTCAGACTTCTGTGGGCTGTACATGGGATTCCCAAAGGCTGGAGGGAACCACTGAGCAGTAAGGGTGGGGGACCAGACAAGGCAGCACTCCAGTTTACGAGCCCAAATATCTGTTGATTTGTTCTGACAAGAGAATAATGTTAAAGTGTTATGTAAATATTTTGGGATTTTAAAGGGTTATCTAGTATTTAATGTCACACCTGAGTGTTTGTGCTTAGTTGCAGTGTTTTATCATTCCTGATAAGTATTATCTCCTTTTCAGACGTGGGAATCCCTTACATCTGTGCAAAGAACGATTTAAAAAGATTCAAAAACTCTGGCAGCAGCACAGTATCACAGAGGAAATTGGACATGCACAAGAAGCAAATCAAACGCTTGTTGGCATTGATTGGCAGCATTTATAATGGTTATCTGCTGAAGACTGGAACTTTATTAAGATTTTTGTAACTCAGTAAGCTTTTCAAAGGAGGGATTAGGAAAAACAGTCTGAGGAAAAAAAACCAACCCCAAACCCAGTCCTATTATTTAATCTTTGTTTTACAATGTATTTCATAAAGATACCAGTTAACATTAATCAAGTAAACTTCTTTCTATGTAAGCAAGTTTTATTAGTCATATAATTTGCACTGTGCTTCCTTCACAGAAATGTCTTGGGTTATAAACCTGGGCAAATGAACTTGAGTTTCTGATAAAAAAAAGAATGACTCTTTTTGGAAGTCTGTGACTTTTCTTATAAACTGCAAGAAAAAAAGACTGCTGAAACAGAAACTAGATAGAGCACAATTACGGATTGTGTTTTGCCCCTTGCTAGTAATCTGAGCCGTTTTATTTATTATTCTGCATTTTAAGACTTAAGCTGTGTGTACATGCAATGGAATGAAGTAAGGAAGCAAATAATGTAGCAAATGGATGTTTCTGTCTGCATCAGTGGATAATTCACTCTTTCACTTGGTGTATCTAAAAGGATTTTGTCATTTGTACTCTTGCAGCTTTCTTGCTTCCAATTGTTTTTTAACTAAAAAAAAAAAAAATCCCCTAACACTAGCTTTACAAGTAAAATAATTTAATTTAAAGCTTTTTCCAGAGCATTGCACTCCTTAGAATTATGTAGTTAGTAATTTGAATTTAGCTGGAAAATCCTTTCACTTTCAGTTACGTGATTGGTTATTGGTATTCAAGGGTTGACATTGTGCTTCAGGAGATATTTTAAGATCATGACAATACGCAAAATGTCATGAAAGCTAATTTTGTGTTAATTTGCAGAAGCACAGAGGATATTTTCTTCACTTTTGTTAATGGTCAACTTTTACGGTGTAAATTCCACCTCCTTTTTGTTGCAGACAAATGGAATGGTTTCCTCTGGCTCTGAAGGGCCACAATCACACTACCCACATTTTTGCATCGATTCATTTCTTCTTTCTGTTGTCCCATCAAGTATATTTACTTTTTGGCTTGATTTAAAGCTCTGTAAAGATGTTTGCATATAGTATATTTTATAAATATATTCTATAACTGCGCAGATTTGCACTTGATATGAGGGTGCCTGAAGGCAGTGAGTTTTCTAGTTGTATGTAATTAGACCACCAAGGTGTCTCTAAAAAGTGACATACTATGCTCACTGATTTAAAATAAAATCCATTACCTTTATCTCTCCTCTCTTCTGACAAATTAGTAAAATCTCGATTTACATAATTCTGTTTCCTTAATAACCTGTGGTTCTTTTAGTTAAGTCTTGCTTTCTGACTACGTCTTCAGCCCAGATAAGCAATCCCTTTACTGTCTGCCATGTCTTCAGTTACACTTGGACTGACTGAATTGTTTCTATTTTTACAGATTTAATGCTTCAGATAAATTTTGTATATTCATGGTGTACAGGACAATTTTTCAAACATTCAGTAACAGTATTGAGTGAAGATGTGAAGTATGAAATAAAGAAACTTGGCCAATGTTGATTTCTTTTTCTTAAAACCAGTACAGACTGCTCTTGTCTCTACTACCTGTTGTAGGTTGAATCATTTATGTACTGCTGTCACTTTTTTACAGAGACATGCAGAAGTTGCAAGAAAAAAAATGACATTAATGCTTCATCTCTGCCTTCCCCTACTTAAGCTGGTTGATATCAACAGTTTTCTGTGCATGGTACATAGAAATCACACTTTTTTTGGTGATGTTACCACTCCTTTGCAGAGAGTCTTGCTTCTTAAGCTGTGTGCCACAGTTTCAAATAATGTGTAACTGCATTGAAAAAACCTACTTTTTCCCTGTAAGCATAATATTAAAAAGATAATTGATGATACTGACAGATTTCTCTGTGCAAAGCAAAATGTTGACAGCAAGAAGGATTCTCTTCCTCTGAGATCAGAGTTGGAGACTGCGAGGTGGAATAGGTTGGTGAAATTACGACCACAAATCATTGCAAAGTACACAATTTATCTTTTTTTCAATTTAGTCATTCAAGACTTCTATTTTCTGATTTGTTTTGCATGTATTTATATCAGTGGAGAAATATTTATATATAACATTGTTTCAGTTCAGGGAAATAATATCTGTAATAAATTGGCTATAACTTTAATTTATGGATTATGTGTACAATCTAGAACATATTATGTGTTTCGGGGAGGAAAAAAACCCAACAACAAAAATAAAATAAAAAATGCCCAAACCTGAAACTATGATAACAGAATACAAACCAAAACTGAAACCATCAAGTAAATGCTTTTGGTGTTGACATTCAATAAGTACATTTTAAACATTGTTTTTAGAATTTTGCTGACCGTGTTCCTTCAAGTGTGTCACCTAGTTAATCACAAGCTAACAGCAATACCTGGATGTGCAACATCTGCAATTCCCCAGCTATAACTGTAAGATGATTATATTATTAGTGTCACTTGCTTCAGTCAGCTAAACCTTTCTTGACCTCTACCAAAAAGTCTAATCATCTTTTTAAAGGATTGTAAATTGCTCTTTGTAAAGGGATGAGGTTGAGGTTCACATCAGTGATGGTTTTTTACTTGGTTCATACTTCAAGATAGCACTTTGTACTTCCCACAGGCTGCCGTAGGAGGCTCTTTCTTACCGGTGGAAGTACATAACTAACACCTGATGCCTTGTGACTTGTGCCGGAGCCAGTGCTCCCCACAGCCCTCGAACTACTTCATCGGTAACGTTACTGGGAATTTGTTGGCTGAGGTGGAGTGCTTGTGGATTCTCAGCCCACTTCTATCTTTGGCTCTCCCCCATTCCCTACAGCTTGCTTCTCTCTCCCTCAAACAAGTCTTCAAGCTGATGCCTAAGCAAGTACAATTCGGGCCTCAGCTCCTGCTCTAGCGCTGGGACCCACCCGGACTGAAGGGCTCAGCGCGTTGCTGCCCTATGCAGTTCATTTCTGTAACGGGGACAGGGGACGTGGCACATCCAGCCGCACAGATCCCTTTCTGTCCTTTGAGGTTTGGCACAAAGCCCTGGCAGCTCTCGCGCTCCAGCCCTGGCAGCTCATTTTAAGCACATTTTTATTTTGCTCTAAATGACTTGGCCTTTTGTTCAGAAGCTCTGTCGTTGTGATAACGTTCTTTACGACCTGGCTGTGTAGAGGAGAAGCTGGGTGCTCAACCTGCCGTGCGAGTACCTTCGGCACAAGATCCCATTTGTTTTCCTTTCTGGAAGATTAAATGGCACAAGGGGAGTTGCATCTCAAATCTATTCACAATTCAGTCCTGTCCTGATCAACTGCGTATGCATTCTGCCTCCCTTCTGCCCTGGACTCTCCTCTGCTCCTTTCTAGCAATTGCCTTTGGCAAGAAGTAGTGGCTCTGTATTTCCATTACACTGTTGAGGTTATTGATTATATAAGTCAAATATGACAGTATTAAACAGTTTTGGCCTGAATATGAGCCCCTGGGGGATGCTGCTTGTAACTGGCTGGTTTCCAGCTGTTCACTGCTGCCCTCTGAGCCTGAAAATCCAGCCAGGTTTCTGTCCGCCGTGCGGTCTGTCTAGTCTGCGTCTCCCCAGCTGGTTATGAGGATGTTGTCTGAAATCACATTGAAATCACATTGAAATCACACTGAAAATCACAGAGGCGAAAGAGGAACAGGCCTTTAAACTAACCCAACAGCTGAATGATTTTGTGTGAGGCCAGGATAGGGAGGCTATCTCTGATTACGGCAAGAGAGATTGGGTTGATCTTTGTGAGGCTTCTATGGGGTTTCTGATCTTTCTATTTTCGTATTGCAATCTGCTCTGCTTTTGGTGAGCCAGGACCATTCCCGGGCCAATCCTCCATCTTAGTGGGAGCGGGATGGCGCTCTTCATCTCTTAACTGGAATTAAAGGAAAACCTTCTTAGGGAGGCATCCACTTCTCTGCCATTAGCTGTTCCTCAGCTCCTTATGGTGAGTGTCCCAGAGTCCTACTTGACCCTGCCTGGAGAAGGTTGGAGACTTCATGGGAACACTGG